TTAAGTGAAGATAGACAAAATCTTAGTGAAGAATCACTTCAAGCTCTTACAATGATGTATTATAATCAATGATTTAGGGGCTGTATTAATGAAATTTTATAAATAAAGTTTTGTTACAAATGCTTTTTCAAATTTTGATCACGTTACACTAATCCTTCATCCTGATTGGTTGAACTGGTAATATCGATATTTTTTACCAAATCGATCGATATTTTTGCAAAATCAAATCGATATTATTCCCCGTCCCTGCCTATGAGGACTGTTTACTTCGTATAGATATAATGATGATCTACAAAAATTAGTCAACCACATGATGTATTACTGTATTATAAAATCTATTAAAAATAATGACAATATATAAACATAATATCATTGTAGTTTCTGGTTTATAATTATGGTCTTCTTTAAACAACCCTCGAAATACTGGACCTTTGACACGATTGCAGTACACTATTACGACAACAACGTTTCCCGCATTTTCGACCGTATCAAGAAAGATCTTGAACAACGTGCAATAATGGAAGATTGTGATGCTCAAAAAGCAAAAGAACTTTTGAATTCAGATTGGAAGGCACGTATTTGAGGATGGAGAAACGCGTTATGACCTAAACGTGTTACTGCTTGTCGCACGCTAAGACTGCTTGTCGGTACATACGCGTCAATGGCACCTAACTGTATTACTGCTTGTCGTACAGTATGACTGCTTGTCGGTGCCTTAACTGGGTTGCTTCTGATCATGCAGTCACGCAATAAAGGCTGTTGAAATTGTTCTAATTAATTATATCAAATTTTTTCTTCACAAGAAACTTGTTACAGCCGTGAAGACACACGTTGCTATTTATCAAATTAGGGTAATATTAAGGATTTTCCAGTTACAAATCCTCCCAACTAATATTCATTTCCACAATTTATAATATACAAGAACGAGGCTGCTGCTTCCACCTTTGCTGATGGGGCAGAATCAATGACAAAAGTTCGTAAAGCGATTCTTAGTGATGTCGATGCTATTGCGTCAGGATCAGTTACTATTTCTAAGAATTATGAAAAGGTAGAGCTTTAAGAAACGTTTAGTTATGCAAAAGAGATTTTTCTGATCATGACATATTGTTTTTTACGGCATTCTCAGAATGGAGGGGTCTTTATGAGTGATAGTACACCTGCTTATAATAATGAAACTGGCATTTCTGATTATGGAGAAAAGGATACCAACTTAGTTCGTAAATGGTGTAGTGATGGAGATGCTACACCAACTAAACGGGTGAGATTATAAGACTTGCAAATTTTTTCTGAGATCAAATAATTTATTAATAATATTTATGCAACCTTTCTAGACGAAACTAAATGATGATCTATCAATAAATTCAGATTTTAACTTGGGATCAATTGAGGTTAGGCACGAAATAGATTTTTTTCAATAATTTTTGTCACGGATTATCGTGAAATTTGGATCTATTTTATGTAC